CATTCCACATGAGCCCCAAGTAAAAGCAGAAAATCTCCTGAGCAGTAATGTCTCCATTTCAAACAAAGCACTGTTCACCCCCTAATAGTTTCTAGCAGAAAATGGTTTTAAATTGTAAGGGGTAGAGCCTGGAGATACAGCAGTGGTACACTTTAGTAGCCCACAGAAAGGCAATGATGCACTGGGGGTCTGACTTGGGTTCAGAGTATAAAAGTGCCTGTCAGTCTGACCCATGCTTCTTAAACAGGGGAAATTTAGATTGGATATAAGGAGGGTGGTGAGGCACTGGAATGGGTTGCCCAGGGAAGCTGTGAATGCTCCATCCCTGGCAGTGTTCAAGGCCAGGTTGGACAGAGCCTTGGGTGCCCTGGTTTAGTGTGAGGTGTCCCTGCCCATGGCAGGGGGTTGGAACTGGATGATCTTAAGGTCCTTTCCAACCCAAACTATTCTGTGATTCTATGATTCTATGCTGAGAGAGTGTAAGGGCAGGGGGAGTAGACTGCGTGGTTCTGATTTAAGGCCTGGACTTAAACCACAACATAGAGGAAGATCTGTAGCAAATCTAAGCAAAACTAGATTTGGGCCCAGTACAACACAGAGGGTCAGCGTGCATTTGCAGGTATACAGAAATACATACCAGTGATTGAAATCTGTCTGCTACAACTCTTTTTCTGATAGGAAGCTGTTTCTTCAAAGCTGTCTTGAGACTTTTGGGGTATTATTTACTTCAAACAGGATTCACCTCATGTAGATTTGGATATCTAAAAACAAGGTTTTCCATCTAGGCTGGTTATCCAAGCTTGCTCTCTAGAGAGGGCAATGGCAAAGAGAAGGTCTGTGTTCAGAGACATTCTGCTAATGAAGCAACATTCAGTTGATTTTTGTATTTGGTGGTTTTAAAATTAGAAGTAAGAGAGCAGCACATCAGGTATCTGCCACAGCAGCTCAAAATGGTGCTGAGGTTAATCCATAGCTGTACTTTTGCCTTTTCAGTTCATTTCTGACCAGTGCGAGAGTGGACAAGAATATTAACAGAAATTAGAGGACATCTGAAGTTAAGTCTGGGGCTCAGCACTGTGTGTATTTGCACTCAGTCAGAGAATAGAAATAGTAATGTGTGACCTAAGCCTCCACTCAATATTAGCCACCACAGCAGAAAATCTAAATATAGAACTGAGCAAGGCAAGACTGAGAATTACTCATAAAACTTATCTGATGAATAACCAGGACCTCCCAGGAAAGAATGGGGGTATTGGAGAACACTGCAAGCTGCTCACAAGGCATTGGTAAGCAGAAATAAAGAGGCAAAGTCACTGAGCAAACTATTCACTCACCTCTGACTGCATTGTTTGAACCGATGCAAAACTGGATCCAAGTGTGAAGTCAATGTTAATTGTGTTCCATTTTCTAGCCCCGCTTTACATTTTGCTAAGAAATTAAATGTCAGAATGTCCCTGAATGTGCTCTCTGAGAAATGAAGCTCTCTTGAAGTCTTTTAAAATTCCTAATCTTATTGTGCTTAAATGTTATTCCCCCAGCTGAATGAATAATTTAATGAAATACAGTGTATTTCAGCGTGGCACATCAAAAATGTCTATTTCACCAATCTCTTCTTTCATCACATCAATTTTCTAGTCTACTTTATCTTATGGGGACACTGAAAGTTCATCTTGCTAAGCCTCATGTAACTGCTGTCAGAAATCAGTTCTAAAGTTGCTCAGCTTCTGGTTTACTTGATATTTTTTCAATCAAGCACCAGCATCTGAAACGTTTCACCCTTGACAAACCACGGAGTGCAGAGACAAAAATGGTTTCTCTTTCCTGCCAGTGTCCCTGGATACCATCAGAATATATTTACCTTCAAAGTGTATGTGCCAAAGGACTGGTACCCAAACCAGATGCAGGCTGCATGTCTGTATGGGGTGATGAACAACACCCCAACTAACTGAAGGATGGGAAACTTGCTCTTACATTAATTGACATCAGCCTGGCTTCAAAGCCCCCAGATCAGGCTTAGGCTTCCATGGCCCATGGGAAAACACAGTGTCTGCTTGTGCCACTGGTGGGGCTAGCGGTCCTGTGGTAGATCTCTCTCTATGTGTATGTGCGCGCATGTGTGTGTATGTATACACACACACATTCTCCACTAAAATAATTATAAAATATTAATATTTAAATACTCACTGTAAACTGCCCACCTGGAATTATTAGGAACATCAGCTCTGTGCCATTCCTTCAGTGTTACATGGCTTACGAGCAAGCCAGATGTGATTACTGCTAAGTATTTAAAGTTTAAAAAAGAATGAAGAAAAGCCCATTTTCTCTATTTATCTCATTGTTTACATCTGTTTAACTTTTCCAACTTAAATAACCAAAGCAGAATGCCAGGGACCTGCCTCCAGCAACTCATTTGTACACTGCAGCTTTTATTCCCCATGTCTTCTCTGCTCCTCAGGAGAGATCATTACCATGGAATGGAGAACACAGGCCTGCAACCCCACATCGCTCACTCAGAGAGAGCAATTCTTTCTAGTCCAATTTGCTGCTCTCGAGCAGGTCAGGACCAGATGGTTCCAGGAATCACCGGGCACAGGAAGGTGCTGGGACTCATTCACCAGCTGCGCAGCTCCACCCCGGAGCGCTGCATCCCACTGGAGTGTGGGCACATTTTCAGTTGGTGCTCAGCAAACCTCAGCATCCCTGCAGCATCTCCAGTACCAGGTGCTTCATGGTCTACTACCCCATGGGTGGGCAAACTGAGGCACAAAAGGCTTAAATCATGCAGAGTCTGGCAGCTGTGCAGGCTGCGCTATCCATGCCCCGTGTCCTGCTGTCTGGATCTCTTTTGAGACAACATGATGGGCTATCAATTACCAACATCAGTCAGGAGAAAGCAGGACAGATGCTGAGGAGTAAAAGATGAGCTAAAAGCAGTTTCCTAATGATCTGTGTCCTCCATGGAACAGGATATCTCTGCAAGATGCAAGTACAGGGAAGTGATCAATTCTGCTACAGCCCCAGCTGCAGATTAATGGGGGCAACACTGGCCAGTGCCTGCCAGTGCACGGGAATCACTTGGGAGGAGAAGCACTTCATTTAAAGAGCTCAGTGTGACTGACTGTTACTTATAATTACTTATTATTGTTATCTTACTCCAAGTTCCCACATTATTGTTGTCATAATTAGGGTAGAAATTCACACTACTCTTCAAGTGGCAGAAAATCACTAATAAATGTGAGGAAAAAGCCCAAAACTGCATGGAAGCCTCTGTTTCCACTCAAGTGCATTATCAGTGGAAATATTACCACACTGCAACTCTGTATCCCTCGGGATTTCCTGGGATAAGGGGAACACACAATGTCCTTTAGCTCCTTATGACTGCTCCATGGGAGGAGGTGCTGCTTTAGATGATGGTGCTGCCAAAGCCCAGCAGCTCACCATAGGCATGGGGTGAGTCAGGGCATCCCCATGCAATGAAGGATCAGACAGCAGTCCCAAGTGAGGGGGAAGGCACCAATGACCTTTCTGTTCCTACTTAAGAGCTCAAGAACTGCATAGCAGGAGTGCTAAAGGCCACAGGAAACTTGGCCTTGCAGAGCTAAGCACTCTACACCCACATCCCTGCCCACTTACCTCTGCATTTACCCTTCCTCAGAGTGCCAAATGCCCCATGGTGTCAGCCAAGGCTGCAGCCGCTGCCTGTGAGTGGCAGCCTCCCCTTCCCGCCCTCCTGCCCCTGCTTCCCTCCGGATTCTCCAGAGTTCATCAGTAAAGTATTCCATGCATTTCTCGGGCCAGTCTCCACCCCGTCCCCGTTTCCTTCAGAGCCACGATGGAGCCGTCCCACAGCCCGTGGAAGGAAACTGGCAGCTTCACAATGAAGCTTTATCAGCCCCAGACACGTAAATATTTCTCATTAGACGTGACCTGATGTCTTTTCCCACACAGTGTTGTTTGGGACCACACTCACCTTCCCTGAGCCCATCCAGGGGTGATTTTGGGTCCATCAGCCACCCAAAGGGGTCTAACAAGCCCCTAACAAGTGAGTATAAGGCACAGACTAACAGAGCACCCCTGCATGGTTACTTTATCCAGACATGAAGAAACAAGGGAAAATGTTGGTTGGTGAAACAAAGATGAGTGAGATCTTAAATTCACACCCACGCACAGCCTGCACACAAGGGGATGGGAAGATTTCTGCTGGCAGCTCTCAGCCAGCTGTACCCACCACCACATCCCCAGCATGTAATGCCAGGTCCATGTGGGGCAGAGCCCATATTGCTGCTGTGGAAAGGGACAGCGAGGGACACCAAAGCTGGAGAAGGCCCACATCAGGCTCCTGTCTCAATCCCTACCTCTCCTCTCTCACAACAGGAGCAGAACCTCAGCACAGATTCAGGTCTCCCCTCCAGAAGCAGCACAGACATTGCCAAGTACTCTCATCTGACAGCACTTCAAATCATTTCCTCATCTGTTCAATGAAACTCATGGTCCTTAAGCACACAATTCACTCAGACAAGACTGACCCTGGTGTTCCTTCTTGGTGGCAGACAGGGATGCACTAGTTAATGGTGGCACAGCGATGGAAATTGCCAGACAAGTGGGAACAGTTCTCATCACTCCAATAATCTAGCACTACCAGCAGCACACGCAGAGATACTTTTAAAATGTAATTTTACCCTGATGGCATCCTATCAGAGAATGTATTTTTCCTCAGGCTGATCAGCAGAGGAAGGATTTAGGTTTCCTTGACTACTTTATAATTTTTCTTTATTGGCTGGTTTCATTGGTTATTACAAGTAAAATAACGCATCCCCAGCCCTGTTAATAGCTTGTATGTTGGTGGCCTCCCCACCTTCAGTCTCCTCTCATGCAGCCGGGGAGAATATTTCCTGCTTTCTGTGGTTTCCCCTTCCCTCCCCATGCTCCTCTCCCCCACATTTTGAACCAGGAAATACTTGTTTGTTTACAGAAAGGAAGTAGAAAACAAACCAGCTTACCTCCCCAGGCAGTGCTCAGGGGATGTGCAGCAGAAGAGTCCTCAAGTTGCTGGATGAGGCCTCAGCAAGTATCCTGTAAGTGTAAGAGAAGTGGTTACACTTCAGATGGAGCTGGCCCGGCCCGAGTGATTGCTAAACCAGGTGACCTCAGGCCTGAGCTCCCTCCCACCCTAATTGTGCTGTGATTCAATGATTGGTCCCAGCCCATAAAGCCCCTGCATCCTACCCACCTCCACTTACAGCTTGCATGGTGCTCATGCATCACAGGGGGCTTGGCTCTAATCCCTGCCATCATTTTAAAAGCTTTGGGGGCAATTTTTATGATTTTGACATTTTAGGGCTCTCAGATGCACTTGTCAATAGGGAAATACATCATTTTGGGTTCTGTGTCTCCATTGCCTCCCATCTCCCCCAAAGTGAAAGGCTGTTTGGCATTCAGTCTCTCAATACCCAGGATCCTAAATCATTTGAGAAGCCCTGCTTGGCTCCTGAAATCCGGTTGCTTTTGACATGACAATCAGCAACAGCTTAAAAGTGATGCTGCTTGAAGACTTGCCTCGAGGAGCAAAGGGAAAGTGTCCTCTGCCATCGCTGGTGTGACTGATAACAAGAAAAGGGGAAGATGCAATGATCTGCATCCTGTTGACACATATTGAGCTAATCCAAAAATATTATTGTCCATATTGGAATATAAAAGTGTAATTTTATTTTTTTTTTGCTGCTGTTTTCAGCTGCAATAGTTTTAAATAAACATTATTATTGCCCTTAAATAATCATTACTTCTGGCACAAAATAAAGCTACAGAACAACACAGGCGACATTCAGAGACTGGACACAGAGAGAAACACATTCACCCCTAACTGCTGGCCAAAGTTATCCATCCCAGCCCTGCTCAGACAGGCTGTGCTCACAGGCCAAGCCAGCAGGTAGACTGCAACAAACCCTCATGTGGGGAAGAACACTCAGTTTTGCCCTTCAGCCTGCAGAAGAGAACCTGCAGGTTCACTGGAAATTACTTCTCAGGGAGTCAGGTGTCAAAATTCCTGATGTTTTGTCCATTTGGAGGGCTGGAAGCAAACCCTGGGTTTGCGTGTGCTCTGCTAATGCCAGTGCACTCCTCCACTGTGAAAATCAACTTCTGCCTAAAGAGACCATTCCTGCAGCTGCCATCAGCTCCTGCCGTATTTCAAGTGGATGAGAAGGGACCGTCATTGCTTTCCACTGGTCATGCTGGCTCTTCCGGCCCCTGTACACCTCATGGTCCCTGTTCAAGCATGAATGTTCTGTTTCTCTAAATAACTCCTTGGTCCCTCATCTCTGGCTCCAGGGACTCCCAAACCCTCTTTATTTTTGCAGATACCTATAAAAAGGTGCTGGTTTGCTCACAAAGTTGCCGGATTGTCCAGGCTCACACCAGCAATTCCCAGCACAATCCTACCCTTGCCATGGCATTCAAACCCACAATTATTTATAAACCACACACAAATGTAGCCATTTCTTAAATATCTGTTCCACAACAGTTAGTGATAAATCAACATTCCCCATCCTTCCCCTTCCAGTAAGTGTCCTAGATAAGAACATGCTGCCCTTCCTGCTGGAAATCCTGTCATGCCTTTGGAGACCTCATCTTCTCCCTTCCTCTGCAAAGATCCACCAAGAAGGAAGGAAAAGTTGTCAGGATAATGAAATAGGTTTTCATTTGTATAGGGGCTACAGTTTAAACCTCAGATAACAGCCCTGAGCCAGATCTGTTGAGGGGTTTGTGCCATGTTATAGAGCAAAGGACATGGATGTTTCCTACCAAAGGGAATAGCGGCATCACTTTGACATCGCCTGTCTGTAAGTCACATCTGGTAAGAAGATGAACCCTGGCTATAATCTAGTGAAACCTTGGGACCCCCTGCCCTGCTCCTGCTCATGTATCCCCCTCACTTCACACAACTCACTTGACAAGAGCACATCATCACACCTCGGCAGTGTTTATACATGCAAGGAGGAAAACTGCAGAACTGAATCACTATATTTGGGGGTGGATTTGCTTAGTCTAAGAGCACTTTAGCTGTCAGAGGACTCTCCTCAAAGGCCTATATGGCACATTTTCTACTGCAGTCAAAAGCACTTCATGCTGATTGCAGTAGCACTGAGATAGTCCCACAGGAATCATAAGATTGAGAAACTCTCCTTCATAACTCAAAACCTGATTATTAAAAGCAAACGCGATACAGACACAAGTGGAAGTAAATACAGGCAGATTTCAAGGCAAAGGTAAAGGTCAAGTGCAGGCAGATTTCAAGCCAAAGGTGAAGATCACTGAAGGAACTGCCATGGACTTGTTTTTATTAAACAGCTTTTCCACGCAGGAAACCCTCAGGTTTGCCTTCAGGTGCAAAGGCAACTGAAAACAGAGGTTGCAAAAGCGCATTATAGCTTGTGTGGGACTGTATCCCCCTTGGACAGGGAGCAGGTATGAATGCAGATTATTCTTTCTGTAATTCTAAGATGGTGGAGCACAATCATGCATTTGGTTCTGCTTTTTTAAGCTTCCTGAGATACTTTGTTGAGCCTGCACTGACTGAAACACTATTCAGTTCCATTTGACCTGGTGTCACTGTATTGTCACATAAACCGGCAATAAATCTGATCTCCTTAAAATGCTTCACAACAACTTCTGCATTCTAAGCCTGCAATACCTCTGCTAGGCAATAAACCAGCACGCTGCAATCCGTGTTGATTCTGTTTCAGGGTGATTTGATGCAGATGACCTGACATGCAATATTTCAAGCTGTGTATTCTATGGCCTGTCACCCAGGCTTCTCTCTGCAACTGTGATGGCTGGAAACTTCATTTACCAGTAAATGAAAAGTGAGACTCTTGTGCAACCCCAGCTCTGCAGAAATTGTCACTACCAGAAACCCACAAATTATCATGAGGCCATAGAATAAAAGAGATCATTGACAGCAATGTGCTTCCTCGTCACTTCCACACTGAGGGTCTGATTGGCAATGAAAGCAAACAGAAATGGAGAGAAGAAACCCATATTACAGCTGTTGGCTCCCCAGGTTTATTCACTGGAGCTCTGCAGTCTCCTAGAAGCACAGGACTGCGAAAAAACCCTGCAGTTTGATTTTGTGCTCCAGTTCTGCCCCACACTCATGGGGGGGCGGCAGGTACAAAGCTGGTTTGGGAGGCCCTGACACTTTCTGTGCTTACTTCACCCACCAGCTGAACACACATGAGCTAGTCCCATTCTCTCAATCATCCATCCTTCCAGTTTGTTGCAGGGAGAGGAATCCCAGCTCTGGGCTGCCCATCTTCTTTTGAGTCTCTTTAATTATATCTCTCTGACTGGCAGGCTCACTGTCAATGATCACAGAGGAAGTCATTTTCACAGAAGGAGGAAATCCATTCCTGTGGTAAGCACAGAGGCAACAGAGCCAAAAGTTTTATGTACTCTTCCAAATTGCACTATCCATACATTTCCTTTCTGCAGGGCAAATCATTTAACCTCCCTACCTGTTTGTCCTCGTCTCTAAAATGAGGAAGGCAGACCTGACCCACTTCTAATGTCCAATGTCAACGGTTTCAAAGCATTCTGAAGTCATTAAATAAAAGGCATTACAAAAGGACTGTGCATTGCTCCTGCCAAGCTGCTATGTAACACATAACAAGAGGTAAAGTATGAAATCACAAGAGGTAAAATAGGAAATCAAGAGAAAGCTTAAATCCCTCCTGAAGCTTCTAAAGGTTAATGCTCTGCCTCCAGATTCAGATGCCAGAAGTGTCCTGGTGACATATGCTACACGTATTTAGGATGAAGAAGCAATCAAGCTGACAAAAGCAGTTGCTTGTCTCTCTGCTTGCAGGAGTTTTAACACCACAATAACAGCTTTTGCCTTAGTGATAAACAGCCACACACACGCTGGGATACTTGTAGGTTTGGCTCCTGTTACAAAGCCTACGTCAGGTGAGGGTCTGGCTCGAGTCCTTGTTCTACTTCTTCTTCCGCCTCCTGTTACAAGTGAAACTGTTTGACCATAGAGCTATTAATACTTCCAGAGGGAAGGGTGGTGACGAAAAAGCAGTCCCGAGGCACAGAGGATGTAATTCAGCTTTTGGACATCAGAGCAGAGATCACATGCATTTCCTTTAGAGGGCCATCGGCTGCTCCATCACCCAGGCACCTCAGCCACAGACATCCAATGCTCCCTTGGTTCAGCCCCATCTGCCTTCCTTAATCTTAGAATGAGGCATTACTGTTGCCACTAGAAATTAATTTAGGGATGCATAAGTACTCATGGGTCTGGGTGTGACACAAGATCACTGCCTTGTGTGCACAGAACACCCGTGGAAGAGCTGGTAGGAGTTTGTAACTGCAGGAAGCTGAGAGAAGCAACCCCAAGAGCCAGATTTTAACCTGAGAATGAAATGAAATCGTGTGTGTTCAAATAAAAACCCTGAAATTCAGGGTCAGAGGCCACAGATATTTAACTGCAAGCTCTGAAAAGAAATGGAATGCGCAGACTTGCTCTGGAAGCATTTCACAGGGGGAAAAAGCCAATCCTAAAATGTGGAGTTTGTTCCTGTAGACATCAGCGGGGATTTTGCTGTGATTGCACACAGGAACTATAGTTCCGACACACAGGTCAGACTTGGAGCTCAGAGTCCAACACATACCATCGGCACGGAGAGGAATGCCAACCAGGGGAAAGCTCACAGGACTTCTTTTGTCCACTGTTTCAATACACCTGATATTCACCCCTGACCACCCTGGCACCACATCCTGCACGTGGCACAAACCAACCTGCCTGGCAAACTCAGCCACTGACCTGGTGATGCAGGTCCCCAGCGGCAGCACCGCCGGTTGGGTCCTGCTGAGAAGGTCCCTCACGCAAGGCAGGAGGTTTAGGATGTGTCCTGCCACACATTCCTATAACAACCCTGACCTTTCCTGGGGGTCTCTCCCAGTCTGAGGTGTGGGGCTCCTGTCAGTAGTAGTGAGATGACAGTAAGATAATAACAGGCTTTATTTGGGGTCAGCCTTCTCCCTGCTCCCCTCCGTGCATAATCTCTCCTTGCTCCTCATGAAATCCCCTGCTTGTTTCTTAAACAGGGATAGATTCAGGATAAAGAGATTTTTACTTCTTATCATAAGCTGACTTGAACCAAACAGTCAGAGAAAGACTCAAAACAAGCTTGGGTGTGTGAGGATGATAAGGAAATTTGGGATGTATGACTGAATGCAGGGGGATCCTGGATACCTCTCTTCAGGGCTTGGAGTTGGCCAAGATCTGCTCAGCATGGGATCTGCATGGAGATGCAAAAGGACAAAACTTCTTCCAAATGCCCCAAAGATAACCCGTAGCCTGAGCACATCTTCCACATGGACAGAGCTTCACCCTCTCGCCCTTATAGAGCTGTTTCTAGGTGCATTTAGTTCTGTGGGATTTACATTTTTAACACTGTTCGTTGTTCTCCTGCCAGAGGTGAGATTTCACTGATCCCCACAAAAACAACTGTCCAAACCAGAAGAAAGACAATTAAATGCAATGCTGATGCTGCTCATCTACATTTTTCTTAGAGAAACTTTGTCTATATCCATGAACATGAGGTGCATTTTGTATTCAAGTCCTAAAGCCAAGCCTAGGATTGCATCCTTTCTCAAGGTGTTCCCTCTTCTTTCACTTCCTCCCTCCCATTCTCATTTATCAGACAATGTCTTGGACAGTAAAACATGGTTTATAGGATTCTCTTTTTATTTTCTGGGAGAGGAAGGCAGGACAATTCTGACTGTCTATCCAAGATTAAAAGCTTTTCCTGTGTATCCCTGTATTTAGCTCACAGGAGCCTGTTTTGTTTAGGCTTTGGGTTTTTTTCCAGGATGTTCTGTCGGTCACCAGGGAATCCTGCAGCCTGCGGATCACGCAGTTTGGGTGCTCTGAAAGTGGAGCTGGAGTCCCTTGGTTCAAACCAGGGGAGCTGCTTTATCCGTTGCTGAAAGGATGCAGCATATATTTAGAATCACTCAGTGCAGCAGCGATACCCACCCTGTTCCCATCAGTAAACACGGAACACGGGCAGTTTACCAAACAGGACCTGCCAAAAAATAACCCCAGGGATGAGTACCTCAACATTGTTTTCCATGGGAATTTAGCACAAGACTGGGGTTCACGGGCTGGTGTTCCCTCTCCATGACAAGTTCTGGTTAGCCTGTTTGAGACAGGGCAGGGCTGTGTTTGGAGATGGATGGGGATAGCCAAGGTACTGGGATGAGGGTATCTGCAGACTGCAGCAAGCAATCGACCCTGTAGCTACTTAGAGGAGTTCCCTGGACAATTGTAACTTATGTTCAAAATCACTTTGATGGACAATACTTCAGGGCTTTTCTTAGCCTAAATGACTATTAAACTGTTAGGACAAAGTGAGCCAAGAATCTCAGATTACATTCCTGGGAGCTGGGCATCCTCTTGGCAGCTGGGAATTTGGCTTCTTCCCGTTAAGTGTCAAAGCCCAATACTTACTCAGAGCCAGGCTTTAGAGTGCTTTTTATTGTAGTTAGGATATTTTCTTCCAGTCTGAGGGAAGCTGCCAACTCATCTTAGCTGAATATGACTCCTGCAACCTAAAATTATTGCCTTATCCCATTCAGCCCATTTCTGGGGACTGGATTAAGAACATATTGACTGATTTATACATTGCAGAGCTTGCCAGCTATCAGCCAAGGCTGATAAGCTGCTCTGTCCACAAGTGCTAACAGAGGCATCTATGCTGAGCCAAAATTAGGACAGAGCTCTATGAGGAATCAGAAGTAGCTTCACTACACCCAGGGGAGGTGACGCCTGAGGCTGTCTGAGACACACAGGATGCCCACCCACGGCTGTGAGCTTGTCCTATCAACCCCCACCCCATGGGATGATGGAGGGAGGTTTAGTGAGGAACACAACTCCCACAGTTCTGTGAAGGAGATGGATTATTACTGCTCACTTTAGCGCATCTGAGTCAGTGTTAGTTCCAGGAACGGATCTGCTAATCAATAAGCAATAGCCAACAACAGTGATGGTGGTTACTTGTTCTCGGTGGCTAAAGGGGAAGACCAGAAGACATTAGCTGACAGTACAACGCTGGATGTACAGTAGAAAACAGATCTCAGTGTACACTCAAACAGCCGAGCAGGTTGGTGGGTGAGATGTGAGCAATCCCTTAGAACAGACTATTCCTGACAGCAGTCAATCAAACCACAGGCCCTGCCGTAAAACCAGCAACTGAGCTTGATGACTGCTTGGGTAAACAGCCTGATCACCAATACTGCCTTCTGGTTTTGCACTCCATAGTCCCACACAGACATGCAGACACACACATACATACAAAGGCTAGAATCTACCTTGAGAAAAACCCAAAAGCCTGCCAGCAGCAGCTGGCACATCCATGTCATTCCAAGAGCTTGGCCTTTAAGGGGAATGCACTCCAGTTCCCAGTCACTAACCCCTGAACTTCAGCTCTCACCCACTAGTGTGAGCTGCCCAGACAGATCAATACTCAAGGTCTCATAACACAAACCCTGTCCTGTCCCTCATGCTGTGAAGCCTCACAGCAGCTTCTGTCATGCAACACATCTTCCCAGCTCCTTCTAAAGCTGTAGGTAGAGAAAGCCTTAACAAGTGTGAGAGTTTGAGTTGCAGCCACTTGCCGTCACTATGCAAAGGAAAGAATCATCTTGATGCCTGGCTAATCTGCAGAACTCATTACCATGAACTGTCATCCAAGTCAAGGGCTTCACAGTGCTGTGTGCACAAGGGGAGGACCCAGAGCTGTATACAACTGTAGTGATAAGGGAACACTGTGCTGTAAGGTACCCACCAACTGGCATTTGGCTCAGGAAGCAGACTGGCTTAGAGAGCAAAGCCCATTACAGGCAGATGCCTCCACAATTTTTACTTAATGGAGTTGTTCTTTTCCTCCAAAGAACTGTTAGGCTATACCGATAAAGGCAAACAGTGGATTTGATATTGATCCCAGCCACTACAGAAATCCCTTTGTTTCTATGTCTCAACAAGAATGGCTGTGTATGTCATTGGAAGAGTATCTCTTCTATTTATTTCCCATCTCTTTGTCCCCACTCTCCATTTTTATAGAGGCATTGGCGCAGAAGTTGGCTGCTTCAGCAAATGAGGTTAACCTCTGACCATGAATTACTGCTCCCTCAGGAGGAAGTGGTAATAAAAAAGGAAACTGCCACAACTACAGCAAAGGCACAGACCAAGGGTTGTACAAATTACAAAACCACCAGCCCCTGAAGCCCATACCAGGGCCAGCCATGCAAATAATGAAGCATGATATAAACACACGCAAAACTGGACTCACTTTGGCCAGAACAATCATTCCTATGCCAAGAAAAATAAGCAGCTTTCCCATTTTCCCTGGAGTTTCCCATATAATGGCTCTCAGGGCCTCTGTCACATCAGAGACAACACGTGGCAATAGACCACAGGCAGCTGAAAACACAAACGATCAAATCATCTCTAGCATTGCTTTTAACTATCGTATCATGCAAGAATAGAGGGCAAGATAGTCCCTGGTGACAGTGCTGCGTTCAGATAAATCAGAGGGAATGCACCATCCAGTGCACTATCAGATATCCATTGTGATTTCCATATGGAGACTGCAGGCTTACTCCAGTCTGTGGCTGGGATTTACATGCTCGTATCTTGAGGCTTCTTAAAAGAATGAGAAAGAAATAAACACCTTTATGATTAACTCCCCTCTGAGGCCCCTCAGGTTGAGCTGCAGAGCCTGGAGGGACCCTAAAACCACTGTCACGTGGGGGAAAGTGGCACAGGTCAGTCATGAGGAGGGAAAGGAAACAGAGAATGAATTCCTGCAGGGCTGTGGCCAGGGAAGGTGGTGCTTCTGAATGAGGGGGTTATGGTCTTCGTTTGGGGGTGTCGTGCACAGGTGGCTTCTTAAAGGAAGATGCTTCTGCCTGCACCTTGCAGACAGGCTATGAAAAACCTTGTTGTGGATATTAAATGCATCCATGCCCTCAAGAAGAGAGTGGTTAAGGTCATAGCAAAGACACCAAGAGTTATTAAGCAAAAAGACACCACCTCTCAGACAGCACGTGCCCAGATGGTTGCAGGCTGGGAAACTAACCCTGGAAAAGACCTATTTCCTTACTGCCTTCTTACATACCTCTAATTTGAGCCACTATCAGACAGGATGATGGAGAAGATGAATCTCTGATATGAAAATACTATTGATGGTCTTACGTTCTTAAATGGTTTTGTGCTAAATGAGGAACATTACAGGAAGCTGCTTCTCCCTCACCTTCATGCTGCTCCCAAGTGAGTCTTATTTCTTACCAGCATCCTGAGATACACGCTGCCTCTCTGCAAGCACCCCACAGGTCTTAAACCTGCCTCTCTTCTCTGAGAAAAGCAGAAGGAATGTCTGAGGTCACAGAAAGATTTGCTGCTTTTTTGCTCAGAGCAGCACAGTCCTTGCAGCCATGGCAGCAGCCCCACGCTATAGTGTGTGGGTCGGCTGCTGGAGCACACAGGGAGCTGGCTGCTCCCATGCTGCTGGCTCTCCTCCTCATTTCCAGCTGCTAAAATGCACTAAAAGAAGCCAGGATCGGAACTGAACAACATGACTTTTCAGTTTAAGCAACTACCATCATTTTCAGGGGGATGTGGCCCATGGAAAGGAGGAAGCCAAGATACTCACCCAGGGGAAAGGAAGTGTTCAGTGGGCGCTTGCTGTCAAAATCAGATCCATGCTTTTTCTCCATTTCTCAAGCATTTCCCCTATCTTGCTTTTTGTTTCGAGAGGGTGGAGGACTGACACCAACATTGCTACAAGACTGAAGCAGTAAATAATTCTTCATCACCATAACATTGCAAACCATTGCAAAATCTCTATTGTTTTCCAGGCCAGCACTTGTAACAAGCTACTGCCAAACTGGATGGTAAAAAGCAAGTATTAGCAGCTGACCGTGGAATGTTTTCCTTGTCATTCAGGGGCATTGCTTTCCTGACTCAAGGAAGAGGATAGAGAACAGTCACATCACACAGAATTGAGTTAATATTAGAGCTGTAAGAATGCCACGACATTACTTGTCAAAGTGACATCTAAACTTCAGCTCAGGTTTCTGGGGCTAGGAGAAGGGATTTGAAGCATGCTATTATTCAGCCATCAAGCTGCAGCATTATTTTGATGTTCACAGGACTAAAAGAAAGACTCTTCTAGGAGAATGCTACATGCTTTAACACAGGCTAATCATTTCAGTCTACAATTTGTGACCATACTCCAACAATCTATGGCAGACAACTCATTTGTTACTTAATGAAACGGCACAGAAAGGCAGTGTACAGCAGCAAAGCTCTATTGATTCTGCCAATGTACACTTACAGAAGATGCAGCTTATATATTTAAACAATTTCTATAAAAGTGTTGGATTTCTTGGTCGTTTCATGCCTATTGAATTTTAATACAGTGCATAAAATTGGCAGAATGTACCTCCTGAAATGCTCTTTGTTACATCTCTGGATCAGTTTCCATCTGCAAGACTGTGACTTCGGTACATTTTGAATATTCCCTTACTCAGGAGATAGCCCCACCGAGAGTGATGGGTTTTCTGAGCCCACTGCAATGTACCTCTAACAGAGTAACACAAAAACCCTGAAATGGAGAATAAAGCCAATATAGCTGGGGAAGAGAAGGATGTGCTGAACCCCCACAGGTGCACCAATGGAATTACATGTCTCCTTGGAAAGGGATCCTGCACCTCACTTCTTTCCACATGAACTGTCATCACTACTTCATCAAGGAAAGTGGGAATGATACCATTACCAAAAGCACATTCCCTCCAGACTGCCCAAGGTCAAACCTGCTGTTCCCTGGAGCAGGGTGGTGCAGTCTACGTCAAACCCAGAGTAACACAATGCTCGTGATGAAACCCAAGGAGTGCAGAGCAATAGCGGCACTGTGCAGGGACA